GAAAACGGTAAAACCCAACTGTTTAACTCTGGGGGAGTGGTAAAATGAGCTTATTTTCAAAAAAAACAAAAAAAACAAAAAAAAACTATTCCTTATATTGCAATCTATGAGAACAAGTTGTAATTGCTGCCATTGTGTAACATTCATTGTGTCCGCTTAACTGAATACATTGCAACCGTATATTACTATTAGTATTATTACTGACACACTCACAGAATACTTCCAATATTTCCTAATTGTAATCTTTACGTTGTTCCAATTCCATTTTTTTGGGACAAAGTTTTAACGATGAGAAAATAAAAGAAACGGTAATTTTTAGCTGAACTATAATTTACCGTAGAGACTGGGCCATGCGTCGCAGGTCTTCGTTCTGCTGTTTCCAGTCTCTCCAGCTTGGTGAGGATCTTGGCAGCTCACGCTGGAGCGCGGCGCATGTTCGTTGTCTTTCACCAGATGACCCCCGATATAAAAGAGCAACGTCCCCCATGCAGCAGGACCAGCGCTATCAGCGCCATGAGCCCGTCCATGGACGCATGCTCTCGCCAAACTCCAGTCACAAATCACAGACCGGCATGCTGGGTCTGCCCATTGAAGTGGAGGTTAAAAGCGAGGCGTCCAAATGTGGAACAACTGGTGCGTCTACGTAGGCACGTCAACACAACCGTGGATATTCATACATCGCGACTCGTCAAGAAGCCAGATCTTCCATTCTGGTCCTATAGATGAGGATTGGGCTTTACTGGCGTTTCACTGGTTTTGTTGGGTTCTCTGAATGCATTATTGTCCTGCAGAGAGAAAGAGAGAGAGATGTCACTTTGTCGACGGCAGAGAAAAACAAATAAAAGAGTCACCATCTAATCGTGGATCATTAAACAACAAAAATAGACTTGTCAACTTTTAAAAGAAAGAAGAAAATGCTTCCCATATCTTCTGTTGTTGACATTAAAGGAGTAGTTCACTTTTAAAAAAACTTTTGCTGATAATTTACTCACCCCCATGTCATCCAAGATGTCCACGTCTTTCTTTCTTCAGTCGAAAAGAAATTAAGGTTTTTGATGAAAACATTCCAGGATTTTTCTTCCATATAATGGACTTCAATGGGAACCAAACGGTTCAACGTCCAAAAGAAACTTTCAGTACAAACTGCAAACTTGTTCAAAGGGCTTTAAACGATTCCAGATGATGAATCAAGCTAAACGATCGCTCATTTAATTAATAAATAACAAAGTTTAAGTTTTATAAGCTCAAACGCTCGCCTTGCTCTGTTCTGTAACGCACTCCTGTTCGAACTCGTTCATCAAAATGAACAAGTCATTTGGTTCATTCGGCGAAAGAAACGAACGAATTGATTCGGAAAAAGATTTGTTCATTTTGTTGAACGAGTTCAAACAGGAGAGTCACGAATGTGCACCACAGAACAGAGCAAGGCGAGCGTTTGAGCTTATAAAACTTAAACTTTGTTATTTAAAAAAAAATGAGCGATCGTTTCGCTTGATAAGACCCTTATTCATCGTCTGGAGTCGTTTAAAGCCCTTTGAACAAGTTTGCAGTTTGCATTGAAACTCTCTTTTGGACCTTGAACCGTTTGGTTCCCATTGAAGTCCATTATATGGAGAAAAATCCTGGAACATTTTCATCAAAAACCTTAATTTCTTTTCGACTGAAGAAAGAAAGACGTGGACATCTTGGATGACATGGGGGTGAGTAAATTATCAGCAAAAGTTTTTTGAAAAGTGAACTATTCCTTTAAAGTCTGCTCCAATATGTCATTAATTAGATAAAAATTCTAATCAATTGACAGCCCTAATATATATATATATATTTTTTTTAAATGATAAAAAATGTTGCTGTGTTGGTCTGAGCCCTGAAACAACGCCAGCTAAGAACACAGTGTCCCAATGGAGATGAATTGAATACAACTAAAATAAAAATGCTGTCCCACACACTCCTGGCGCAGCACAGCCGCGAGGATTGATCAAAATGACAATCTCACGACGGTGCAATCTCATGACAGATGTGAGCAGACTCTTAAAACGTCTGGGCCCGCTGTCGCTCCTCACCACGTACATCTGTACTGCGCTCAATCTCACATCTCAACAGTTCTGACTCTGACAGCGAAACCCTCACACATGTCCTGCAGATGCTGACACATGTTTTGTGACCAACTGCAATGCTGCCAAACTGAAGTGATATGCACACTGGAATGACCCTAGAAAAGCATCCGCTTCCTCCAGGAATGAGTGTTATAATCAACGGCACTCTCTCCGAGTGATGTGACAGAACTAGAACGCGGCGCTACACTGCCGACACGTGACCCTGTGACCCCATGCGACGCAACACAACTAGAATCACAGCTTTTCAATCAATCGGGCAAACACAACTATCGATGTTCCTTCTATGATCAACGACACACTGCAAGTGCATGACACCGGGAACTAGACGTGCTTTTTATAATCAATCACGCCGTCTACACTCACTGCATGTGTGCGATGAACACTTCTGTTTTAACCCTCTGATGGTCCTCGGTCACTTCTGACCGAATAATTTTCTGTTTTAAATTATTAAAAATCACAGCTTCATCGGAAGGTTATGATACTTGGTGACTTTTTTGGCATTTGGTATGTGAATACAAAAAAAAAATTGAGTTCATGATCCGAGCATGCTAAGTGGTCGTAAAAAAAATAGTCACACTCGTGGTCTTCGGTCAGAAATGACCGACCCATAGGAAATGAATGGGAAATTTTTGTACAAAAAAACTAAAATTCTCTTAATTTTTGTTCGTACAATCTACAAATCGAGCACCTGCCCTTTTGCCCCTTGGTGCCCAAAGTGCCCTTTTGTCAAGACAAAATTTCCTCTCCTTTTTTTGTATTTAAAGGCACTTTTGTGGATGCCTGCCCCATCTAACTAGTAGTAAAATGAATGAATAATAATTTAGCCGTAAATAAAATAACCCACATGATGACCTTTCACCTAATTCCTCACGCTGCACGCGCATTTTATAATTTCGCGCGGCTACGCGCAATCGCGCATTCCCAGAGGATAGCTTCAATTCTTGCGGCTGCTGGTAAGTGGTGTTCTATTCTCAGCGAAGTGATTTTGATGTTTGTTTACTTTTTATTATTATTTTACTAGAACGACGTGAAGAGAGCATGCAATGTTATTTGTATTGTGTAGGCTGTAGAAGTAACGTTAGCTTGCTGTTTGAGGGAGAAAAGTTTCACGGGCGTGGACGTGGAGGGGTGTTATTTGACTAAAAACTATTATTTGTACTTTAAACTATTATTATTATTACAGTATTTATTAAAAAAAATTATTGATTATCACAACTCTGGTAAGTTATCACATAGGCTTACCAGTATCTTATGTTTTGTGTGCAGAAGCCTCTGTGAACATCTGCCCTAGTAAGGTAACTATTATTGTATTATTATACTATAGCAGCCTGGGTAGAATCTGTAGCTTCAGCAGGTCAGTGAACTAGTGAGCCAGTTCCAAACACTGTCAGCAATCTTTACATCTTGTCATGGTCACATAAAAATGGTTTAATCAGCCAATACCCTATATCTCTGTTTATTTTAATGTCTACAGTCTCAGATCAACTCCAGCAGTATCAGCAGCAGCAGTAACAACATCAACAGCAAAGGCAGCAAACTCACTTAATGACTTGAGTAAAAATTTACCAGAACAGGCATCACATTAATGTTAAAAATCTTGTAAAGTATTAATTGCTGTTTCTGTTTGCTTTGTTTTTATTTTCATTGTATAAAATGTAACTCTTGTATTTTTGTAAATCAGTTTTTGCCATGAAAATAGCCACAGATGCTGATATGCCATTAAATAAAACTATACTCTACTGCACGAAATATGGGCCAGGTTGATTTTGTCCTATACAGTTCACTATAACAGCTGTTCTTTATTATTCTGTATAACAGAGAAGAAAAAGCCATCAGGTTGGAACAACTTAAGATGCTTCAGTTTCTAATCCCAGAGTTATATATAGAGCACATAAATTATTTTTTTTAATTTTAAACTTTAAATTTGTCTTTTCTGTTCTGGTTCTTTTTCAAAACTCCATCAATGCATTTGCTGC